CAACCTACCCCCCCCCCCCCCCCTCGTCGACCGCCCCCCCCCATTCTCCGAAAACTATCGAAAATTCATCCACGAACAATCAATTAACTCAAGGACTTAATCCCCCTTCCCCCCCGGGTCACTCCCCCCTCCCTCAAAACACACACACTTCACCTCAACACAGCAGTTGAGTGCTTAAGCTAGGAGACAATCTGTCAACTAATTATCACTGTAGCAAGCACAACTTCAGTATAAGCAACTCATCCCTTATACTTCCACTGTAATGAGTAGGAACTAAGACCTGAGAAAACTAAGTATCCCTCTTACGGGGCTCACTGGCGAGGCTCTTCCGTTTCAACCAAGCCCCATCCCACATCAAGCTCCACCTGTACAGAATGATGAATGGAATACCCTTACGTTCCCCTGAACCTCACCAACAAATCCAACATGCTGAAGATTCAACGAGTACAAAACAAAGCACTTCGCTTTGCAGAGGGCCTGACTCTGAGGGACAGGGTAAGAACTGACCTGATCCACGAGACGCTCAACATGAAGCTAATGAACATTAGGCTTAGCTACCTGGCCAGAAGACAGCTGTACCGTATGAAGAACATGTATGTCCCAGACCCAGAAGATCCCTTCGTAGCAGAAAACACCACCAGCGACTACGAGATCCACGAACCACCACACAGAACCAGAAGAATCACTCTCCAACAAAAAGTGATCAGACATATCCATGATGAGGCCTTCCCAAGCCCTCAGATACTAAGCGGTCTGCCAGACGATCCAGATGAGTGGCCCATCCCGGACCCAATCTACACCAAATGAAGAATAAAGAAAGAAAAAAAAATAAAAAAAAAATAAAACACCTACAAAAAAATATAAAACCAAAAAACCATTTGTCGTGGCGTCAGAAGTGTAACTATCCTGATGTTTCTAAGATTAGCCTCCTTCAGCCAACTCCATCGATCCCAGGGCTTTAGGACACCAACAAGGTCACAAACACTAGCCCCCCCCCAGCCAATGTACTGACAACCCAACATAACACACACGCAAACAAACAACACATACAAAAATGTCAACCCATGGTGGACAGGCCACCCAACTTTCAAACCTCCAAACCTCCTCTCTCTCTACACCCGCACTCTCTTCCTGAAATTTATCACCCCATCCCTCTACCTCCCCCATCCTTTCCATTCCCTATGGACATCAATCCGAATCCCTCTTATATCATCTACACTTTTATTATACCTAACCGAACCTATCCTTGCCTATCCTAACCTAACCAATCTCATCTTACCCTAACCTAACTTATCCTAACCAGACCTATCTTATGCTAACCTTACCTACCCTAACCAATCCTAACCCAACCTATCTTATCCTAATCTATCCCACCCTAACCTATCCTAACTCAACCTATCTTACCCTAACCTAACCTAACATACCCTAACTCTACCAATCCTGCACTAGGGCCTGCACTAGGCTCTGATTCTTGGAACTCTATATTCATCAAGAACTGTAAAAAAACACTATCGCAGGCCCTTCACATTCTTTTGAGACAAAGCCTAGATACTGGCGACATACTAAACATACCCTGACATACTGAAGACAGTAGAGATAGCCCTATTTCATAAAAGACGAAATAAGGCAGAGTAAAAAAATTACAGACCTATAGCACTAACATCACACATAAAAATATTTGAGAAAGTGCCAAGAAGTAAGATCACAAAATACATGGAATCACAGTATCTCCATAACCCCGGACAACATGGTTTCAGAACAGGGCGCTCTTGTCTGTCACAGTTGCTGGACCACTATGACATGGCACTAGATGCCATGGAAGACAGACAAAACGGTAATGTAATTTACGCAAATTTCGCAAAAGTCTTCGATAACTGTGCACATGGTATTATTGCACTAGAAATACACTCAAAAGAAATTAATGGAAAAATAGACAGATGGATCTATAATTTCCTGACTAACAGAACCCAATATGTAATAGTCAACAAAATAAAATCCGGATCATCAACCGTGAAGAGCTCAGTCTCCCAGGAGTACTGTGCTTGCTCCAGTGCTTTCACTCGTCCTCATATCGGAAATAGAAAGGGACACAATATTTAGTACTGAAGCTTCGTCTGCAGATGACACTTGGATTTTTATGAGTAGACAACATAGAGGACACGGCAAACCTCCAATAAGATGTTGATCAGGTCTTTCTATGGACTACAGAAAATATGGTGATTAACGAAGTTCAAGCTCTTGGGTTAGGGGAAAAATGAAAATATAAAAACGGAAACCACATACAAAACGCAGTCAAATCATAACATAGAACGGAAAGGCAATGTAAAGGATCTGGGTGTACTCATGTCGGAAGACCTTACCTTTAAAGAACACAATAAAGTAGCCGTCACAACTGCAAGAAAAATGACAGCTTGCATGACAAGAACCTTTCACACTAGAGATGCTGCACCGATGATGATACTCTTCAAGACGCTAGTTATCTCTAGAGTGGATTACTGTTGCACAATGACAGCCCCTTTCAAAGCTAGAGAAATTGCTAATCTGGAGAGCGTGCAGGGATCCTTTACTGTTAGAATTCACTCAGTAAAACATCTAAACTATTGGGACCGACTAAAATGCCCTAAATCTGTATTTTCTTGCGCGCAGGCGGGAGAGATACATAATAATTTACACGTGGAAAATAGTATAGGGGCTGGTCCAAAACCTGCACACAGAAATAACACCACACGAGACCAGGAGGCATGGCAGAATGTGCAGAATACCCCCCGTTGAAAAGCAGAGGTGCAACAGGTACTCTGAGAGAGAACTCAATCAACATGAGAGGCCCGAGACTATTCAACACGCTTCCACTACACATAAGGAGCATAACTGGCCGACCCCTCACAGTGTTCAAGAGAGAACTGGATAAGCACCTCCAAAGGATACCTGATCAACCAGGCTGTGACTCATACGTCAGGCTGCGAGCAGCCGCGTCCAACAGCCTGGTTGACCAGTCCAGCAACCAGGAGGCCTGGTCAAACCATTTCAAGGTAACCCCAAGATAATCCTAGCGAAGATAACAAATACCATTATTTTTCAATATATTGTGTGGACGAGACGAGTGACCACCACAATTGTCACACTGCTCATGTCGGTGAGCTCACTGATATACTGAGAGTGAGGTATACTGAGAGCGAGAGCTGATATAGTCCCCCGTATGCTGCATCCGGCCCTTCGTCCACCTACAGCATAATCACATCCACTTTGACCCAACTTAATTAAAAACTCTCAATGAAAAAAAATCTCCACTCCGGTATATTGCACAGTTTTTGCGCAAGAAATAGGTTTTCTGCTCACTCTCGTGCTAATATGCAGCACAATTTGATCATTCATACCATGGACAAAGTTTGAGCGACTTAGTGTATTAGTATTTTATGGTATATAATACTAATTCACTGTATTTTCGAAGCGGTACCCGGAGTTGCTTAGGTCGGTCTGTCTGTCTGTCTGTCTGTCTGTCTATGTTTCTGCAGGCAATAAGTCGCAATAACGAGGCTGAACAATAGACGCCTAACTCAGAAATCTGATAAGAAAAAAGTTGAATATATTTCTGTCCATCTCGGACCATAACCAAGTTGAGTTGACCATCACAGACCGTCTTTCGACTTGATAATGGTCCAGGGCGGACGGAAACGTCAATTCTTTCTCCCTGTTTCTATGCATCTGTCTGTGTCTGTCTCTCTCCTTGTCTGCCTCTTTATCCCTCTGTATCTGTCTATATTTCTGTCTGTTTTTTTCTTTTCACTAAGGTTAGGGTTCGTTATGTCATTGATGATCTACGTAGCATAATTAAGCTGACCCAATACTGGTTGAGGGCAGTTATATTACAGTAGTATGGAATGTAAGGTTCTCCAGCAAAATGTTGACGTAAGTAGTCTCTCTCCCTCCCTCCCTCCCCCCCATCTCCAACCACTTGGAGTGGACGGTAGAGCGACGGTTTCGCTTCATGCAGGCCGACGTTCAATCCCCGACCGTCCAAGTTGTTGGGCTCCATTCCTTCACCCCGTCCCATCTCAAATCCCTATCCTGGCCCCATCCAAGTGCTATATAGTTGTAATGGCTTGGCAATTTCCCCTGATAATTCCTTAACACCCCCCCCCTTGCCATTCGGGTCTACACAGTGCAATTAGTATAATTGGTGTTCGGGATTTATTCCTATTTTGAAGAAAGCCATTTCCAGATGAATAGGTAATAGGACTACGTCAAGAGGTTGGGTGTGTACAGATTTATCGAAGCCACCTCCCAACCTTCCCTTCCATCCTCTACTCTTCCTTAAACCCACCTGTCTCCTTGCATCCATAGGGGGGGGGGGGTGTCAGGTTGCCTTAGGAATCTGCCACCAAATTTTTTTTTGGAGTTCAGTCCACCACCCACATCAACACGATGAGTGTTCAGGCACCCTGGGGAGCCGGTCAGCCGAGTGGACAGCACGCTGGACTTGTGATCCTGTGGCCCTGGGTTCGATCCCAGGCGCCGGCGAGAAACAATGGGCAGAGTTTCTTTCACCCTATGCCCCTGTTACCTAGCAGTAAAATAGGTACCAGGGTGTTAGTCAGCTGTCACGGGCTGCTTCCTAGGGGTGGAGGCCTGGTCGAGGACCGGGCCGCAGGGACACAAAAGCCCCGAAATCATCTCAAGATAACCCGTATGTAAGATCACGAACACTGGCAATCAAATCGAATCAAATCAAACCAAAGACTTATTCATAAAGGTTTGTTCATCTAAAGTTGGAAAACAAAAATGATTGCAGTATTTTTACTAATATAGTAAAATTTGTATAATCATTAGTATAATTAGTAGAAAAATAGGATTTCATAAAAATACTGTACATAAATTACATGTCACAGTATACAGACAATATCTGAATCTGAAACTTTATTCGTAGCTTTTAAAAAGCATTATAATACTGGCTGGACTAAACAGGCGGACAACATTGTTAATATAACTTACATTTAGACATAATGGGAACGACATACATCACCTTCCTTATATGTCGACACCCAAGAATATGGACACCCATGAGAAGGGACACCCATGAGAAGGGACACCCCAGAGAAGGGACACCCCAGAGAAGGGACACCCCAGAGAAGGGACACCCCAGAGAAGGGACACCCCAGAGAAGGGACACCCCAGAGAAGGGACACCCAAGAGTATGGACACCCAAGAGTATGGACACCCAAGAGTATGGACACCCAAGAGTATGGACACCCAAGAGTATGGACACCCCAGAGAAGGGACACCCCAGAGAAGGGACACCCCAGAGAAGGGACACCCCAGAGAAGGGACACCCCAGAGAAGGGACACCCAAGAGAAGGGACACCCAAGAGTATGGACACCCAAGAGTATGGACACCCAAGAGTATGGACACCCCAGAGAAGGGACACCCCAGAGAAGGGACACCCCAGAGAAAGGACACCCAGGAGAAAGGACACCCAAGAGAAAGGACACCCAAGAGAAAGGACACCCAAGAGAATGGACACCCAAGAGAAGGGACACCCAAGAGAAGGGACACCCAAGAGAAGGGACACCCAGGAGAATGGACACCCAAGAGAATGGACACCCAAGAGAATGGACACCCAAGAGAATGGACACCCAAGAGAATGGACACCCAAGAGAATGGACACCCAAGAGAATGGACACCCAAGAGAATGGACACCCAAGAGAATGGACACCCAAGAGAATGGACACCCAAGAGAATGGACACCCAAGAGAATGGACACCCAAGAGAAGGGACACCCAAGAGAAGGGACCCCCAAGAGAAGGGACACCCAAGAGAAGGGACACCCAAGAGAATGGACACCCAAGAGAAGGGACACCCAAGAGAAGGGACACCTAAGAGAAGGGACACCCAAGAGAAGGGACACCCAAGAGAAGGGACACCCAAGAGAAGGGACACCCAAGAGAAGGGACACCCAGGAGAATGGACCCCCAAGAGAAGAGACACCCAAGAGAAGAGACACCCAACAGAAGGGACACCCAAGAGAAGAGACACCCAAGAGAAGAGACACCCAACAGAAGGGACACCCAAGAGAAGAGACACCCAACAGAAGGGACACCCAAGAGAAGAGACACCCAAGAGAAGAGACACCCAACAGAAGGGACATGCTCAAATTCACTAATAACATTTGTTCTGACCAGATCACTAATTGCTTAAACAAATGACAAGAGGGATCCCTTTGAGGATATAACCCAAATGCTTTTCAGAATACTTTACTGGAGCCTCTCTGAAGAGTAATTCTAGATTGGCATATCCATAACACGAGTCCAGCGAGTTAAAAACAGCCACAGTATCTTTTGTAGGATTGAGCGTGAGATTATATCCAGCACAATATCTTTCACATATTTCTATAAAAACGAAATCCATAGCCTCTTTGACCAGTTCAAATATAACTTGATCGGCCTAACAGAAAACATTGGGCTGATTTCTGCGTTTTTGACAGGATGTAAAGAGGAACCAGTTCAACTGGCTCCTCTTTCAACATTGGATCAAGAGTCCAATTATGTTTGCTAAGAACAACTAGTTTGATCCCATTTCTTTTTTTTAAATTTTGAGATTTTAGAAATTTTGAAATTTTCAGACAGGAGATTACTCCATTTCACATCTAATTTCCTAATAGGAAATACACAAATATCTAACAATGACAGAACAACTTTTCTAATAAACTCTCATAAACGTTTGGTGTGTTGACCTTCGTGAAAAGCTTAGGAAGCATCAAGAAACTGAGAGACGAGAACTACATTGTCAGTAGTAGTACTGGAGAGAGAGAGAGAGAGAGAACTACCATGTGAGTAGTAGTACTGAAGAAAGAGAGAGATAGTAGAACTAACATGTGAGATGAAGTACTGAAGAGAGAGAGAGAGAGAGAGAGAGAGAGAGAGAGAGAGAGAGAGAGAGAGAGAACTACCATGAGAGTTGTAGTACTGAGAGAGAGAGAGAGAGAGAGAGAGAGAGAGAGAGAGACAGAGAGAACTACCATGAGAGTTGTAGTACTGAAGAGAGAGAGAGAGAGAGAGAGAGAGAGAGAGAGAGAGACAGAGAGAACTACCATGAGAGTTGTAGTACTGAAGAGAGATATGTTTAGTAACCAGATTTTTATGAATATTATAAGTCATAGGTATCCAATGGGTTAGAAAGTCAATCGACGTATCGTCATATTTTGTTTAATAGTGTGTTTACGGCCAAAGCTGTGTAGTTAAGAGAGGACACTAAAGCCCTGCAGGTCGTGGGTATGGGAGCCAGCACAGGGAGGTGGTGTTACTTGTAGATGATGTTCGTGGGAGAGAAAACTTGTAAGACACACAGATATATGCTCGGTTTTGGCATTACATGTTGAAGGTTGCCTCAGTATATGTTAGAGGTAGTACATATCACAACTCCCGTTATGTTAAGAGAGAGAAATGATCTCTCTCTCTCTCTCTTTGCTCACGTGCGTGTGTTTGTGTGTGGTTCGTACTGAACACCGACCAGACGTGAGGCATTGGCTGGAGAGTTTGCAGGAGGTATGGTTGAGATGCTAGGCCACTTGCATACTTCAGCTAATTACAGGTAAAGTATGATAGCTGGATTTTTTTGTGAACAATTTGGCCGACATGAGTGCACATTTATCTAAATTATAAACAAACAAATATAAAAGAAAAGCAATAATCCGAATATTTAAGAAATCGTCTTAGTGTTCCTTTGAGCACTATGTCAAATGGCGCTCGTTGCTCTTGTGCCTAACCTGACCGGTCCAAGTGTGAGGCAATAATGAAGGAACAAAGTTTAGTGAGGCTAGTCCCAGGTATCTGGCCTATAGTCTCGGAGACAGACAGACACAGACAGAAACTAATTTATATTGATTATGGCCACCTGAACTTAGTTCCACTGACCTGTGATATCAAGCAGATAATCTTATCCTTTATGATCAATGTATATCAGTACACTCATTTAATCAAATTGATTTTCAATAATGAATTAATGAGTATAGCAAAAAGGATATTGATGTGTTATTAAATATACCAACTCAATAACAATCAAAAAATTAATCAATGCAATAAAATTAGGCACGTTTAAATTTAGGAAAGACCTGGGGTAAATACTGGTTTGAAAACAGGACTGCTGATTTATGGAGTATATTACCGGGGTAGTAGTAGACATGGGTCTGCTGTATTGCCTCAGGCGATGGTAGTTTGTCCTCTGCCTAGTTTGCCCCAGGCAGACATACACATGTCTGCCTGGACAAACTAGACGGTCAGACGCTAAAGGTCAAGTCTCACTCAAATTTCTAAGATGATACATGGATAGAATGTAAGATTCATTGGTCAGTGGAGCCTATCGTGGGTCAGAAGACCTTGTGCAGTGACCTTTACTCCTGTGCTCTTATACTGTCCCTTCCAGCAGCCCTGAATATTAAGGCCTCCTGAAAATTCAAATAATTCCCTCATACCAACTCCCAGAATGTGTGTTCAGTTCAGAGGGACCCTGAACCGCCCTTCAGGGGCCCCCTCTTCCCACCCCATTCCCAGCTTGGGGTTAAGGTGTTCAATTACTGGTTGGTAAGACAAATACACCTGTCGACCAGTGGCTTTGGTGGACCTCTGAGTACACCAGTAAAGACCTCGCCCACTTCTCGGACAACTGGGTCTTAAAGCCGGCTTTGGAGGGATTTTATTGTGTGCTCAGTGGGTTTCACTGCATGGTTGGAGGGTTTTAATGTGTATTATGCGGGGGGTTTCTATGTAATCTTGGGTTTTATTGTTCTTTATTTTATTTTAGAGAGAGAATTTTTGCATCTATTTGGTGAGTTTGATTTTTGTTTATTAAAATTTTTATGTGTATTTGTTGAGTTTTAATGTTTTCTTTGCTCTAATGTGTTTGGGAAGTTTAAGTTCTTGTTCTTGTTAGTGCAAGTTTGGTATAAATTAATTGATTGATGATTTCAGTCTTGGTGAATTTTAATGTGTTTCATAGGTTCTAAAACTTCCTTTAGTCCTGGTATTAGTGCCAAGAGAGTTATGATGTCAAGATGAGAGCTTCAACGTCGAGCCGAGTACCATGTCTTACCAGCAATATTTTTTTTCATTCAGATGCGACATGATCCAGTCCTACAAAGTATGTCCATACACAGAATAGCGAGATCTGGACCAAGAACTGCTTGGGAAATATGGTGCCGTAGTATGTGGAAGGCTCGAGCCCAATTGTAGAGGCAGATTGGAGGGGCAAAACACCCTTGAATATCGTTTAATTAACGCAGGTTAACGTCATCAACAAATATACCACGCTCCAGGAACGTCTATGTAACGCAAACTCCATCAACGTCTAAGTAACGCACGCTCCAGGAACGTCTATGCAACGCACGCTCCAGGAACGACTATGTAACGCACGCTCCAGGAACGTCTATGCAACGCACGCTCCAGGAACGACTATGTAACGCACGCTCCAGGAACGTCTAAGTAACGCACGCTCCAGGAACGTCTATGCAACGCACGCTCCAGGAACGTCTAAGTAACGCACGCTCCAGGACCGTCTATGTAACGCACGCTCCAGGAACGTCTATGTAACGCACGCTCCAGGAACGTCTATGTAACGCACGCTCCAGGAACGTCTATGTAACGCACGCTCCAGGAACGTCTTTGTAACGCACGCTCCAGGAACGTCTAAGTAACGCACGCTCCAGGAACGTCTATGTAACGCACGCTCCAGGAACGTCTAAGTAACGCACGCTCCAGGAACGTCTATGTAACGCACGCTCCAGGAACGTGTATGTAACGCACGCTCCAGGAACGTCTATGTAACGCACGCTCCAGGAACGTGTATGTAACGCACGCTCCAGGAACGTCTATGTAACGCACGCTCCAGGTACGCCTAAGTAACGCACGCTCCAGGAACGTCTATGTAACGCACGCTCCAGGAACGTCTATGTAACGCACGCTCCAGGAACGTCTATGTAACGCACGCTCCAGGAACGTCTATGTAACGCACGCTCCAGGAACGTCTATGTAACGCACGCTCCAGGAACGTCTATGTAACGCACGCTCCAGGAACGTCTATGTAACGCACGCTCCAGGAACGTCTATGTAACGCACGCTCCAGGAACGTCTATGTAACGCACGCTCCAGGAACGTCTATGTAACGCACGCTCCAGGAACGTCTATGTAACGCACGCTCCAGGAACGTCTATGTAACGCACGCTCCAGGAACGTCTATGTAACGCACGCTCCAGGAACGTCTATGTAACGCACGCTCCAGGAACGTCTATGTAACGCACGCTCCAGGAACGTCTATGTAACGCACGCTCCAGGAACGTCTATGTAACGCACGCTCCAGGAACGTCTATGTAACGCACGCTCCAGGAACGTCTATGTAACGCACGCTCCAGGAACGTCTATGTAACGCACGCTCCAGGAACGTCTATGTAACGCACGCTCCAGGAACGTCTATGTAACGCACGCTCCAGGAACGTCTAATAACGCACGGTCAAAATATGCAACTATGCTTCACTGTTACATCAACGTTGATTGGCCAGCTTCCCCTGGAGTGGGGGGACGAGAGATGCACTGGCATTAGCACATGTATAATTGTATTATTCACGAAGCGTGTATAAGTATAGAAAAGTATACCCGGAATACCACAAAGAGAAGACTTCTTCAGAGGACATGAAAACGAAGATATCCTCTGTAGCATCGCTGGAATCACTGAATATATTCATTGAACACGCTAAATGCATTCTAAATATACAACATTCTAAATATATAACTTTCTAAACATGCAACATTCTAATATAACCGAACATTATCAAGCTAAAAATCTAATAACACTACAAAACATTTTAAACATACAACATACTCGTTAGAAATACAAGAGGCTAATTATACGAGAAAAATATTATTTTTGCTTGCATGAGTGTCGGCGTGCAACCCATCGTCATAGTACTTTTTGTAGCTATGTGCACCATGGTAGCAACACTGACGTCCTCAGCAATTAGATTGTAGCATTTGGTACTATTTACGTTATCGAGTGCGAAAAAAAGAAGCTAAAAGGGTAAACTTAAATATTCCTAGGCCTAGTATAGCACATATATGTACTATATTTGGCCTAATTCATATATGCGCGGGTTTTTATCTACCTACTATATAGATG